GCCGCGCTGGCCCCAGCCCAAGCCCAGAGCTTTGTTGCCGGCTGGCCAGCGGCGCTGAGGGATGTCACAGCGTGGGGCAGGAGCCAGGGCACTGCTGAGGTTTCTTCCCGTGGAGCAGAGGCCGTTAGCAGTGCCCAGCACCTCCCTGCAAACAAGCAGCCCGACAGCACACAGGCTGGGGTACCATTGCCCCAAAGTAAGCACTCACTTGCCCCGGAGTCAGGCCCTGAGCCCACGGTTCCATGGGGGGAGCCCTGAGTCCCCCCAAGCTACTCACGGTGCATTGGGGAGCTGCAGAGCACCCCGGGGCTGGGCTCGAGGGAGCTGAGAGCGCTTTGCTTGATTTTTTGCTCTCACCAGTAGCGCTGTGCCTCGGAGGAGCCGGGTGTCATTTTGGGTTCATGGACCATCATATTTCCCACCTGGGACTTCCCGAGGGCTTTACCACAGTGCCTGTTCCTTGGGGACAGGTTTGGGGGAGTGGGGATGGGCAACACGTACATGTGCGTTTAGCGCTGTTCCTGTTTGTGTGAGTCTGTTAGAGGGGTAGTTTCGTATTTTTAATCATTGCCATTTAGTAAAAGATCTGTCAGCAGCCGACTGAAGAGCAGCAGATGTTATTAAAACACTTAATTCTTTGTATTTACTCTGCTGAACTGCTGGGGACTGAGGAGCAACATCTTGAGCCGTGGGAGCGATAACCCCGGCCGTGGCAGGGAAGAGGCTGCTGGGAGGAGCGCAGCCAGCACTAGGACCCGGGGCGAGCGGGGATGGGACCTCCAGCTGCACAAACTTGCTTCCAAATAGCTCTCTTCAGCTTTTTCCTTTGCAGAAGGAACTGCCCAGAAAAAAAAAAAAAAAAAAAAAAAAAAGAGAGAGAGAAAAAAAAAATTGCAACCCCTCCTGAGGTGGAGCTTTGCTGCTGCTGCAACTTTACCCTCCTGGCCCCACGGCCGCCGACTGGGGGGAATTGCCCCGGCGATGCCACGGGGCGACTCGTGGTGGGAGCTTGGCTGGGGAGGCTGAGGGG